ATATATATATATATATATATATATATATATATATATATATATAAAATTATTATTATTTAATTTATTAATTAATTAAAATGTATTAGCATTTACTGTTTTATTTGTCATTAATCTTACAGTGTTAATTTAAATGCAATCTGAATCTATCATATCTGCTACTATGAAAATGTTGAGGTACGGAGGATCATTTAATGTCTCTAAAACAAGTCTCTTATGTTCATTAATTTAATAGAAAATGCAGCAAAAGCATATCTTTAAATATTTTTACAACTGATAATAATTGTTTGGCATTTGAGTAGATTTTGAAATGTCAGTTTTCAGCACATTTACTCAGGGTCACATGATCTTTGTTTTTTAGTGTTTTAATTTTCAGTGTCTCAAAATCTTTAAAGATTCAAATATACTGATTTAGAGTAAAAAGTGACATTTTAATTCTTAAATATAAGGCTGAACAATATATCATTTGAGCATCGATATTGTAATGTGTCTATCTGCAATAGTCACATCACAGGATTAGATTGTTTAAATAAAGATTAAAAGATAAAGATATTATTTAATATTATTTTCAAAATCACAATGATGACTATGTTCTTTTACATATTTAATTGTGAAATGTTGTTAAATATTGGTACACACCAAAAACACAAAAAGCACTGTTTATTTTATTTTATTTATTTTTTGTTTGTACATAAAGCAAGGACATTCTGGAGAAAGTCTTATTTGTTTTATTTCGACTAGAACAAAGCAGTTTTACATTTTTAAACACCATTTTAAGGACAAAATTATTAGCCCCTTTAAGCTTTATATTTTTTCGATAGCCTACAGAACAAACCATCGTTATACAATAAATTGCCCAATTACCCTAACCTGCCTAGTTAACCTGGTTAACCTTAACCTTAACCTTAAATGTCACTTTAAGCTGTACAGAAGTGTCTTGAAAAATATATAGTCAAATATTATTTACTGTCATCATGGCAAAGATAAAATAAATCAGTTATTAGAAATTAGATATTAAACCTATTATGTTTAGAAATGTGTTGAACAAATCTTATTGTAATACAAAAATTGAGGAACAAAAAAAAACAGGGGGACTAATAATTCAGGGGGGCAATAATTCTGACTTCATTTGTATATGCTTGTAATTTATTATAATTTATGCAGATGTACTGCATAAAAAAAGACTTGATCATGCCAATGAATCTAAATTAATTAATGGTGTCCTAATAGAGCCATACTAATCATTTGGTGAATTTTTATTCATATTGCATTATATATTGTAGCAAAACAAAATATTGCAAAGTCAGATTTTTCCAATAACGTTCAGCCTTAATTATAAAGTTGTCATGATATTTCATATAATTTTTTGTGATTTTTTGTTTTTTTAGGATTAATAAATAAATACAAAAAAAGTTATTTAATAAAAGTAAACAGGAAGTTAAAGTAAATGCTGAAACTTTTATTCCAGTATGTTGATGTACTTCAGATTGAAATAGTATATTGAGTAGGGGCAGAGCTTTCTTTGTGCGCATCATTTCCTCATATCAAACTAACGGTAAGAGGGGCGTAGTTAAGAATATTGTGACTGATGCCATCAAACTGATGACAAATGTTATCAAATGGGCAGACTTTGATTGAAGATTACCAAAACAAAAACAAATTCAGTAGATTAACTTACAGAGATTCAATGTCCACCTAAAGAATAACAATGTGCGCAAGCAAAATAAGCATTATAAATCTAGCTTTCACACATACTTTAAGAGACCTTCTAAAACTAGAAGCGTCTTTACTGTTTAATTGATCAATCTACTGACAAAAAACATCAGAAAAAAAATACGATTTGAATAGTCAAGTTACCATTTGGTTTACGTTCAGATGAAAGCCCTCTCAAGTCACGACAGACACACAAAGGCCTGCATGTCTGCATATCCTGTACTGCAAATAACTCATCTAAAACCTCGACAGATATCACTCATCAGCATCAACCACCTGCTTAGCATGTGCAGTCGAAGCCAGACTGACACAAGAGGCTGGCGAAATGCAGACAAACAGACTGGGAGGCCACAGAGAGATGAACCTCCAGTCTGACAGTGGCATTTCTCTTTAGAGGAGCAGCTGCCGCTCCGCCTCGCTGCCTCGAGATGTCAAAGCCGCTCTCATGAAACAGAGATTGAACAGCGATCTGACACGACGCAACCGTTACTCGACAGACACTGAGAGGAAAAGACCATTTTCTGAAACGTCTGTTGGACGGTTTGCTCTCGTGTTAGTTCTCAATGTGTATGCAAATGCTGGAAGACTTAAACCAGTTAAGTTGTTCAACAGCATACCTTTGACAGTTTAACTTGTCATAGCAAGACTCTGGGTGATGGTGGAAAAGTTGACTATGAGCGGGGTTAGCGAGGCGTGCCGCCCACAAATGCTGGATTTCTGGGTTTTGTTCAGTTTATTTCTTTCCGTTTGCTTCATTTGTCATTCGGCATTACAGAGAGGACGTGGTATGGGAGGAATGTTCTGCGTTTGACTGAGGTGATCCGGTGCTGTGAGACAAATGTGTGTGTGTTTTTTTTTTAAAAGCGCTTCCTTTGAAAAGAAAATAGGGGCATCTGTTGAAAAAAAAGTGCTATAGTTAGGTCATGTTGACATTTCGCATTGTTCACACTTGCTGTTATGGAAATGCCAGCTCTCACCACTCTTTTCCCACTGTTCAGATGTCAAAAATGCATTGAATGATTGTTTTTATCAGCAAAGTTGAACTTTTTTTTTTCATTTGATCTGCAGAAGAAGACGTTTTAGTAAAAGTAGGTTTCAAGGGTCGTTCACATATGTGAAGTTTA